TCTTTCCCAAATCTTCATTGTATGGCTCATCAACTTTATCCCTCTGTAGTTGTTACAACTCTGTACATCACCCTTCTTATAAATTGGCACCAGGACACTTCTCCACTCAACAGGCATCTTGCCAGTCTCTAAAATTCTGTTAAACAAACCAGTCAGGAAATTTACTGCCACTTCTCCTAAACACTTCCATACTTCCACTGGCATGTCATCAGGATCAACTGACTTTCCACTCTTCATCCTCTTCAGGGCTTTTCTTATTTCATCCTTTCTAACCTGATCTACCTTCTTCATATTAGTTTCTGGTTCCTCGTTTCTACTTTCCCTTTCATTTTCCTCATTCAACAACTCCTCAAAGTATTCCTTCCATCTTCTCAGCACACTTTCCTCACTTGTGATCACATTCCCCTCTCTGTCCTTAATCAACCTCATCTGCTGCACATCCTTCTCAGCTTGATTTCTCTGTCTTGCCAATCTATACAACTTTTTTTCTCCTTCCTTTGTGTCCAGACTCTCGTACAACTCCTCATATGCCTTTTGTTTGGCCTTGGCCACTTCCCTCTTCACCTCCCTTGTCCTCTCTTTGTACTCCAGTCTGTTCACTTCTGTTCTGTCACTGTCCCATCTCTTCTTCTCTAATCTCTTTCTCTGCACACTCTCCTGGATCTCCTCATTCCACCACCAGGTCTCTTTGTCCTCCTTTCTCTGCCCAGAGGACATACCTAGCACCTTCCTACCTGTCTCCCTAATCACTGCAGCTGTAATCTCCCAACCATCTGGGAATTCCTCAATACTACCCAGAACTGCCCCTACTTCCTTCCTGAAGTCTTCACAACAGGTCTCTTTCCTTAGTTTCCACCACTTGATCTTCTGCTCTGTCTTCCCTCTCTTCCTTTTTGTCACCTCCATCGTCATTTTACACACTACCATGCGATGTTGTTTGGCTACACTACACTATCTGTGTGGACCTGCCTCCACTCTTGTAAGTCACCCTATGTTCCTTTTTCTTTTGGAAATATGTGTTTACCACAGCCATTTCCATTCTCTTTGCAAAATCTACCACTGCCTGTCCTTCCAAGTTTCTCTCCCTAACACCAAACCTACCTATCACTTCCTCATCTCCTCTGTTCCCTTCCCCTACATGACCATTTAATTCTGCTCCAATCACCACTCTCTCTTTCCCCAGGGGATACCCTCTATCATCCAATCCAGCTAATTCCAGAACTTCTCATTTTCTTCTAACTCACAGCCCACCTGTGGGGCACAACCACTAACAACATTTATCATCACTCCTTCTATTTCTACCTTCACACACATCAACCTGTCTGACTCTCGTTTCACCTCCATCACATTTCTTACATATTCTTCCTTTAAGATCGCCCCTACTCCATTTCTCTTCCCATCTGAACCATGATAAAACAGTAGCCCCCTAGCTTTGAGTTTGAAACATATGTTCTATAGCATTGAGAGAGAGCTGTATTTATATTTAAATGACTGGGACTGAACCTAGCATCCCATCTTCTATACAGAACTAGAGAAAGAGTCTGCAACCATGCAAAACTTTATTTCGTAATGACCCGTGTGCCAAAACCTACCCGTTAGGGGTTCAATTTGGCCCCCAAATATATTCCAAAATTGATTGTAGGCCTTTAGAATACAGGATGATAAAGTGATGCTGAGGTTCTGACCTTCCTCAATAAAGCTGTCTTTAGTTACTTTGACTTGCAGTAGATGAAATGACTTGTGGTTAAAACATTCAGAAGAAACACCTTTGTTTATTCCAATGATTAGACTGCTGTGTTAAAAACATTTGCATGTCCTGAATATTAGGTCAGGGACAGTGTCCAGTGTCTTTGTGCAACATTCAGCTCTTATACACTCCAATATGCTCCTAATGAGCTCAGTATCAGCCAGTAAATAGAAAGGAAATTAAGAGTTTCAATGAAAAACACTCTGTTGGTGACCCTATTAAACCACCATCGTGTGTATAGATGTAGCTATAGATAGTTGTACACAGTACACATAGTAACTTCACAGTGTAAATACTGTAAATATGGAATGGCACTACAAAATCCCTGTAATGCTGGTACCTCTTGTACACACTTTAGTAGTTCGCTGATTTATAGAGAATAATAAAGGGTACAGAAAGCATTCAGATAATCATATGATCATAAGTTAATTGGAGTCAGGATGTAGGAAGTGTCACTTAAAGCAGATGTTAGTAGTGCATGTGGGAGAAAAACGGATTTGAAAACTCATTCAACTGAAAGAATCTTTATTTTGATAAAGCTTTTATAGCCTATGAAATGGTTGTGTTAAACAAAAAAAGTTCAAGGGTAAAGATGTATTCGCTTGTATGAACCTGGAAAAAGAAAGAAAGATTTTAACTATATTTAGGGAGTGATCTTGTTAAGTCAGGAGGCAGACCAAAAGTAACATTCTATTTCCTGCAAATGATTGAGTGAACTATGTTAACAGCCAGTGCATTTTATCATTTTTAATCGAATACATCAGTATGAGTCAAAAACAACCAGATGATCTTTTTATATGTTCACATTTATTTGGTTTCAAGTTCTAAAATATTCTAAACATGCCTTTAAACACCAACGGATCAAATTCTTCACAGGTAGTAAATGTTACAAGGGCAGAGAAAGGACTTATTTGCTGGGCGAAAAAAACTGCAAGAAACTTTGCATTGTCTGATCACAGGTTATTGTAGAGGGCAACTTAGTTTAATTCCTATTTTCATTGAAATATTGAGTGAATTCCTCCTATGAGGTTGTACTTCACTGACCACATCTGCAGATAGTGCAAATTATATCTTAAGATCATTGTCCAATATTTAATTTCATCATATAACATTAAACCTTTTTAACAGTGGTGCAGATTTATGTTTAACATTGATTTTCTGGAGCTCCCTCCTTTTTTGTGTGTAATTTTATGTGGAATGGACGCAAGAAGCTCGAAATGGCCACTACTAAAGGAACCAAAATCAACAAATTTAAATGGTTAACTATTTGAAGTTAGAAAATGTTTTATGAAATGGCTATAACACTTAAAATATACATTCAAAATAATATAGTTGGTATATTTCTGTTGATAAAAATGTTAATATGTTACCATAAATGACTGTTTACTATGTTTCTTTTAAACTGTTGTGTACTGTACTGCATGTTGACGTTTGCAGACATAAATAGTGTGATTGTAATTTTATTTCCAACTTTGTCCCATCTGTACTATCCTTCATGTCCCCTGGAATGAAATCAGTGTAATTTGTTATTTATCCTAAATTGAAGGAATTTAAAAAGAAATGATGCAGATAATAATAATACAAAAAAAAATCAACTGGTCTCGTGCCACTGCATTAAAGTTGTGCAAACACAGATAGCCAGGAGATCTAAAACAGGAGATATCAGTTTGACCACCGTCACGTTCTCTGTTTAGCAAACAAAAATTACAACCTGTATTGTCTGAGAAAAGATATGATGGTTTCATTCCTATCAGAGTTTCCTTGAAAGTCTGGTGATGCACAACCATCACAGAGCAGAATAATAATTAAAACAATCCTTCAACTAAATTCACACTTACATTTATGGGGAGCAAATCAAGGGGTTACAAAGAATGAAAAAAATACAAAAATGTAAAAACAACTTCAACTGTCTGTATGTCAAAATAAAAGCCCTTCATACGTGAAGTAAGAATGTTTCACAGTAATGCTCAATCATGAAGCTGGCACTTTAAATGATAGTGCCATTTTACAATTCTGGGGTCAGCAATGCTTGATTAAAGGATGACATTTACTATTTTGAAAATGTTAAAGGGCAGTTTAAATTTTTATCAAACAAAGAAAATCGAAAGGAAAATCCCTACAACAGAGTTTTTGGTCAGCCAGATTCTACACAAAGTCAAAGCTGTTGCTGGCAGCATGTAATGTGAGTCAGAGAGTAAAACTGTTTATATTATATTGAACAATCGGGGAGAAATAGAAAACAGTACCTGGTTTGGAAAACAAACAGATCACTGCACAAATAAAAAACACAAAATAACAGAACATTGGTGCAATGAAACCAATAAATAAGAGAAAAAAACTGATTTAAAAGTACTTGACAAATATAGAGGTAGTTTCAGTTGAAAATTGTAAATGACTTCCCTTGTCTAATAAAAAATCTAAACAACTAAAATAAATCAGAAATAAAAAACAGACAGAATTAAAAAAATAATTAAAAAGTATTTAAATATTACATTTTCTAAGACCAGTGACAGCGTGGTTGCTGATATCTGATTTTTCCATGCTGCTATTTTGAATGAAAAAAAATCTCATTTTAGATCCTCTTCTACCGTCAGATCTCAGCAGCCTGTGATGTCCATCACATTCCTAGAGTTGCTCTGAAGTAAAGTGATTTTGTTGATGGTTATGCTGAACATATTTTAGACCATCACTTCATCACTTCTCAGAATGTCTAGGAATGTTAACATTAGTAAAATAAAAAGGTTGTTTTGCACACATGCTCCTGACATTCCACCATATCCTGGGTTTTTCTAATAAAAATTGTGTAATGACAAGCTTTGGGCATCATAACAAGATTTTTGTACCATGATGTAACATTTCTGCCATATTTTTGCTTCACAAAAACTTGAGTATGTAGATTCAAGTTAGTTTTTTTTCTTGTTTTGATTTGATTTGTACAAGGTATAAAGTACACCCAGAGATGGTAAATAGGCAGACACATACTACTGCATTATTCACCCAATGTGGTAATTCTATAAATAAAATTACTGATTATTAGGAAAATATGTTATGTTAACTCATTTGTGCCTCTGTACAAACACAACATAATTTAAAGATTTGGTCATTTTAGTCTTTGGGAAGTAATACATGAATTACATTTTCTATTACAGTGATTCTTGGGGGGGGCGGGGGTGTTTTTGTGGCCTTTCAATCACAGATGTTTGAATACCTTTATGCAGAACATCATATTCTCTACATTAGCCCTGAGAACAATGGTTATAAACATTGATAAAGAATTGTTTATTTTCAGTATTTAGTATTTTTCAGTATTAGGCACTATGAAATTATCTTGTAAAAAACAAAAATCAAACAAAAAATACAAATGTTAATGTCCTGAGTAATACTTTGGTTTGCTATCCTTTGTGGACTTGAGTACAAGAAATTAGAAGCCATAACAACAACTAAATGAAATCAATAACATTTAAAAATGAAAATTAAATCAGAAACCCATAACATTCAAAACAATCAAATTACAAAAATGTGTATACAAATGAAAAGATGAAAATAGTCAAAATAAAAACAAACAAGGAACACTGCATTGGACTTATAGCAATAAGGCTTCAGTCATACATTCTTTCTTTGTGGCTGTATGTCATGCAAATGATCTTTCTTCAGCCAAGGTGTGGGTGAGGGCAACTGCCACACCCAACCTGTTCACCCTTTTAGGCCTCCCCCTTTAATCAAAACAAATGTGTAACACCCACACTCTCCCCCGAAATAAAGTATTGAAGTTCTCTCACACAGCACAGATAACATAATTAATGTCAAACACACCCAATTGTACCTATTTGTATACAGAAATATGACTAAGTCTAAGCTGCACACAGACAGGTGGGTAACAATAATGGAAAACGCAGTGTGGTTTGAAAAAGAAAAAGCCATTTCTTAATTACTCCCCTCTATAATCAATCCAAGGTCTAAAAACTCCACTCCCATGTCTTGCCTTAACACCACATCAATGATCATTAGATAAAGGGATTGGGGGTCATCAGGGAGACTAACAAAGAAAAAAAAACACTCTGTCTAAAGGGGACCTACAATGTCCTGTTGTCTATGTCTACTAATACTACGCACATCAGCATAGTCACCGAGGGGTGCCTGAATGCAACACACAACACTCCCAAAACCATGTTTTGTTCCAGATCAGCAGGGACCTGATAAGAGGAACACACTGCATGGGGAGTGGCAAGGTCAAAGGTCAGTGCCATTGTACCTCACCATTGTGTGCTAAAAGAGACTTGTTGCATTTTATTGGCTAAAACCTCAAAGAACTAAGGATACACTATAAATGGTTAAAAAAAAATCTATTCAATGTGCATTTTTCACAGTAGGAATGAAAGCCCTAAGTAGTAGTCATGGATATTATCTAAACTTCACCTGAATTGCATAAAATATAGATTAATCATATTCATAATCATAATATAATTCATAATCCGCTAAGACTTTTGGTTGACTTGAAGGATGTGTCATATATTCATTAATTTTGAATCACATACTTTACTACCGAGGACTGAACCTAAACCAGTCTCGGGGCCATCCTGTAGGTTTCTGCTAAACTACGACTGATCTTGGGTCTGTGCAAATGTTTGATTGGCTATAGCAAGTCCTGAATCTGAGTAACCTCCTGTGATTCCTTCAACAAAATTGGTTTGACGCTGGACAAATGACCACAATCTAGCTACATATGCATTGGACAGCCACAGTTGTTCCTTGCACACATGTATAAAAGGTGGTGAGCATCTGTGTCCCAAAGAATGTAGTCTCACTTCCTCATCACGACGTGAGAGTTTAAACATTTTTGTTTTAAATTGATAGAGTCAATCGTAAAGGTTCACTTCACACGGAATAGCACTTTAACTAGTCAACAGCATTGTGCTAACACGGGCTTAACTGCAGCAACTGCAAGAGAGCCCAAGTGACAATGTGAAAAGAGACAAAAGGAAAAACAAAAAGGGAATGATGAATGTTCTGTGTGCATATACCACGTGTGCATAAGAATATGTGCAGGTTTAGGAGCATTTAGAATGAAATCCGCCAAAAACGTTTATCTGTTAGCAGAGGGTTCTCCCTCCAACAGAGATTCAATTCTTATCCTGATCCTTTATTGATAAGAATTTCTATAAAAAGGTATCAGCTCCCTACCCATCAATGGGCGTTAAAAAGCATTGCATAAGACTTTTTTTTTAAAACAAAAACAAAACAAAAACATTAAAAACAAAACACTTAACGCAACGGCAACACTAGCTACCATTACCTTTCACAGCAATAAAGCCTAACACATTCCCAGGCTATGATTGTAAAAAATACCCGTATGTTCCTTTTAAAATGACATAAATCCCACTGATCCCACCTCTGTCACCTTAACCTGTGGAATGTTAAACTGACACGACCACCTTCCATTTGCGCAGTGACTCAGAGTCTATGCAGATGAAAGCTCATTGTTGTTAACTAACATTGCATTTCAATGGGACAAACACTGTTTTAGTCATCAATTCAAGTAGCTCTTGAATTATTCAGTCTTTGATTGAGGCATCCACAGAAACTAGGGTTTTAGACTGGGCCACTCTTCATTATAGCTAAAAAAAGTACCTGAAAATACATAGGATCATAACATTTTCCTGAGGTAGTCTCACAACACTCACAAGACGTGTGGTCTGTCTGCCCCACCTGAATAAAGTAAACTTTTTTTAGGTTTAGTTCCAATAATGGCAACACTTACACATCGAGCAAATTGGATACACAGTTGTAAACTCCAAAGACCAATGCATCTATGAGCATTTGTTTTGTACATGTGCATGTGCACAGTGTAAATTAGCATACATTCAGCTCTGTCATGTAATAAATATATAAAGAAAAAGTTACAAAAACACAAACTGCTCATCACATTCACAAGAGGGTAGACCAAACCCTTAACTCTAGTCGGGATTTGGGTCGTCTAGTTTCCAGTAGAGGCGGCCACACAGGGCAGGGGACCAGTCCTGTAGCTGGTCAGGCTGGATTTGCAGGAGTGCAAGACTGCTTTAAACAGTAGAGGGAGCTGCTCCAGAGGTATATTCACAAGCTTTCCTGTGGACAAAGTGACATGGACAAAGCTTTACCGGGTTCAACACATTTGTTTGGAGTGCAGAGTAGGCTCGTTGTCACTGCAAAACTAACTGTGCACTGCCAAAAGTTGTAGGTTGTCAGGGCTAACACAATCAGTGAAAGTAAAACAACACATAGACAAAATTCAAGCCTCTTATGTTATGAATCTCAGAAAAAGACATTTGTTATGGATATGCGATAATGTCGGTCGACTGATAATTATGCCATATTGGTAAGAATCGTTGGATCAAAGATGCCTTACCTGCAATGCAGCGGATCTCAGGCAAACACATCATGATCTCGGGGAAGCGTTTGGGCTGGTGTGGGTACTTATACTCAGTGTAGTCCTGACACACATACCAGTAGCGCTTGTTCAGCTGCTCTAGCTGGGTGGAGTTGGAGCCTCTGATATCTGTATTGACATGTGTAGTAGCAGGGAGTCATGTGGGGAACATGGAATAACATGGATGCGTAATAATGGAGTTTCTGGCGCTAGTTACCTTGGTTAAGGAAGTTGATGGCTTTCATACAGGCATATTCTTCATTACTGATCTTCAGTTGGTGAAACTTGCGAAACAAATATATCAACCTCTCCATGACGTCCATCCCATCCTCACTGAAACTAAGGAAGAGTCTATAAGCCCTTGTGTTGCTATGCTTATATCTGTTCACTTGAAGTCTTTAAATTCAAAGTCAATCCCTTAATCATTCCTTTTTTATATATAACATAACACGATTTATCAAATTTATTTATTAACGAGGGGCAGTGGTAGCTTAGTGGTTTCAGGTTTGAGTCCAGCAGCTGCCAAGTTACCACTGAGGTGCTCTGAGCATGACACCATCCCCACTCACTGCTCCCCTTAAAGCTGACCACTGTTCACTTTGGTGATGGGTTAAAAGCAGAGGTCACATTTGGTTGTGTGACAAGGAGTTCACTTTACGTTCCTTAATTTCAGATATATGTCTTCATATGTCTAAAACGGGTATGGCCCATTATTTAACAATTGAGAGATAATATTTTTTTTAGGAACAAACTAAAGGTTTGGCTAATTGAACACATTCTGAGTTGTTTGTGACATCCACCTTTAGTTATATTGCGCTTACCAAAAACATAATTTCTCTTTTTTTAGTTATGACAGTTTTCATACACAAGCATACAATTGACAATTTTAAATAGACAAACTTGACAATATTGTAAGTGTAAAGACAGTGCAATGCGGTGGGGTGCACCTGCTCCGATTTACAAAGAATAGAAATTCAGGAGACATGGTATCCTGGATACCACATGCCATGCAGTGCTTAAAACTCTGTTCAGCATTGACCAACAAAAAAAATCCTCCAGTCTTTGAAGTATGCAATAATTCTTAGAACGCATAACTTCATAAGATATGGAATCTAAAATTCGAAAAATCTTTATTATTTTACATTTAAAGAATACTTGTCTGTCTAGATCTATCAAAACATTCACATCTTCCCCATTGTGCACAGTGTGTATATATATATATATATATATATCCACCTCCAATGTTATGTTACCTCCAGATACTAAACATATTGTATCTGACCAGTACATGATCACTGCATCTGTGTTTTATAGATTTAACAGACTGATTAGATTTAGACCTAACCCCCAACATTTATCCTGTTGATGCAAAATTTGGAACAGTGGAAATTATTCTGGAATGATACACTGTAGATTATGTTAAATATCCTGCATTAAAATAAACACACCTACCATGCCCACTGCAATAATAGCACTTCATTCCTACATACATTTTCTAATTTTCTGGGTTGTTCTGGGTCATCATGAAAAGGCAATAACTGCTATAATTGCCCTTGTTGCCACTTACCCATGCAACTCATCATCAGATGGTGTGTACTTGGCAGTGATGTCAGCCAGGTCGCCAAAGACCTGGGCACTGTAGATAGTTAGGCAGGACAGTAAAATGAGCTCTTGCCAGGTGGAGCTGAGGAGGCAGGTGTAGTCCTCTATGGAGAGCTCACAAAAGAATGGGAGCTTTTTGATCCAAGAGATCTGGCGGAAGAGCAGCTCATCTGCCAGGCGACACAGCAGGGCAAATAGCTCCACCTGCGTCACCTTGTAACTGAAGTGCAAAACAACAACAAAAAAAGAAATTGCATGTTGGATTTTCATTTAAGAAGCTTGATGATTTTTTTTTTTAAGATACAGAAGCAATAGTTCTCAACTGAACGGATTTCCGTATCAGTAACAGATAAACTCATCCAATGGTGAATATGTATAGAGGGGGTGTCCTGCAGTTATAATTATCTGTCTACATGAAGAAGCCTGATTTCCAGTATGTTTCAGACTCCCTGCAGTACTGTGTTTGCCCAATTTCAGACCTTTCTTGTGACAATTTCTTTCTTACACTGATGGATAAGGTTTTGTTAAACAGCTATATCTGTTTGTTAGCCTGCTGGTAGCTATAATAATACAATAATATGACTTCATATTACACAGATTTGACCTAAATCACATCGTACGAACCATGCTGGAAAAAAAAAACATATTGATTGAAGGTTTTATATTTTCTTACTCGTCCTCGATGAGCATAGGTGTAGCCAGTGGGGCCAGGTCTTCAGCAGCCACCAGTTGCATCACCAGAGGGTGGGACTGGGGATAGAGGCCACGGGGTTGCGGGGCAAGTAGGGAAGACTGGGTAGCATAGCTGAATAGGTGAGGTAACAACTGGTAGTGTGTTGACATGGAGGTATTGATGTACTGGTCCCTTAGTGCTGCTGTGTAGCCATTCATTTCCACAGAGCGGCTGTGTACACATACAGAGGTCAAAGGTTAAACATTGCAGTTGGACATTTCGAGGAATTGTGCTATTTTGCCACGTGATGTACGGTTACGTTTTGGCTTTGGTATTAATCCGTTTAGTTTGTGAACAGATTAACCATCTTAACCATCTCGTTTAACTCTGCTGCTTTCATATTCTGTGTGATGAGGAGCTGCTCAGGCAGAGCTTGACACTGGATTGTTAAATTGAGTCGCATTAGTTTTAGTGTTACATCACCACACAGCGGCCACAGTCGGTGCTACAACCATGGATGTACCTTTTTTTGAAAGAGATTATAATTTCATTTTAATTTTCATTTAAATGTCAAAAAAAATCTCGATTGCACGAATCAAATTAAATCCAACTTCTTGATCGTGTGTGTGAAAAGCACATACTTTTACATAAACGTATACTTTTGACCTTCAGTTGTTAAAAAGCTTAAAAAAATTATAGTAGCGATGAAATATATAGCTGTTGGTCTCTGAATAACTGCCGAGCTCTCTGTATGGCAGCTGAGATTACCCAGTCACACAGAATAGGACTAAAATAAATACAAAATTTGAGACAACACTTGTCCTTGATGGGAGCAAATAAACAATGTGCTGTTCTCAATAACAGAAATAGCTAGATAGTTCTTTGTGTTCCTGTTCCTTGCCACTGAGAGCTGCATGATAGGGCATTTTAGATGGATTTTTTTTTCACTATTTCAGTCACAGGGGCTTTTGGAATAAAATGGATAAGATGAACAACTCACTTGGATGACAGAGTGGAAGCAGGTGATGGTTGGTTGCCCTCTAAGACTCCATTGCTAGGGGAGCTGTGGTCACTGTCTCCGTTGTTGCCCCAGGTGTGGTCTGGAGCTTCTTCCTTAAACTCTTGCCCTGACATGATCCGTTCAATCTCCTCTTCTGTGATCTTAAAATGACGAAGAGGAAAAGCTACATGAATAATGCGTGGTACATCTTTAGAGCTACGATTTAAATATACTCCAATACTAAGTGTAATGTTAGAAACAGGCAATCTCTCACACACAGATTTCCTTTTTCCTGGAGAGTGCCAAAGACAAAAAAATAATGGAAATGTAAATTAGGACCAAACATATGGCCTGCAGAACAAAACCGGTCCCCTTGATGAATTTTAAATGTTGCTTAAACACTTCACATTACTGAAAGGAAGAAAAGAGCTCTGATAAGGTTGTAAAGAAAACAGCATATATGTAACCTTAGACATGTCTGTGTGACTTTGTTAAACACATATATACATAAAAACACTGCTGTATTTCAGTAAATGAATGCGTTTTCATTCATAAATGTCTGTACTGCCTGCAAACAGATATAGAGATTATTTACTTTAAAAAACAAACATCTATTTAAATTAAATTAAAATAAGCAGTGCATTTTAATCAAATATTACAAAATGCTGAGTGTTTGGAAAAAAAACTAAATATTTTTATGTGTCTGCAGAGTCAGTAATAATGCACCAGCAGTTTGGGTGGCAGTGCCAGATGAAATCCATCCGAAGTGATAAATTGTCCAAAAGGAAATATGCCTGACAGCGTCTAAGGGGAAGGGAAGCTGATTTGTTATTGTGTTTGTCTCTTAAGTAGGGCTGGAGCCATGTTTGGCCTTGGTTTATTTATTTTCATGACCATATATTAAATGAAACAGCGAATAGGAAAATAATAGTAAGCAGCAGTACACAGTAGTACTGTTTAAATATTAGGATCACTACTACTCATGCTCATTTCATGTCAGTAATATATTATATATATGTATATATATATATATATATATATATATATACACATATAGATAGATAGATAGATAGATAGATAGATATTGCCATAGTCAACATAATATGAGTGAAGTGGGTGAGTAGTGGGTATTAAGTACGTGGCTTACCTGCACAGGCCCAATGCTTTTGTTCCTCCCTCCTGGCATGCCATCCTCTCTAATTGCTACAGAATTCAAGTATAGCATTCAGTACACATGCAAAATGCGATTATTATCACAACATAAAACCTGAGATAAATTTAAAACAAAACAAAAAAACAATATAAACTTTGCTTTGAAATGAGTGCTTGTTAAACGAACACAGTGGTAGAAGCCGGGTCGACGTCACATTGAAAACATATGGCTGTAGGACCAGTTTTTACATCTTACGTCCACTAGGGGGCAGCCCACACAAGTTTAAGATCATGGCTTACTTCCGTGTACATTACTACTAACTAACTGGTAATTATCTATTAAGTATTAAGTCAGCCAAATAGTCTAAATAACTGTCCTAGATTAAAAAAAAATAACTCAGATAATTTGACTGATTCCTTTCACTTTGTGACTATGTCTTGTGCTAAAAGGATTCAAGGCATTAAAGACACCAACATCGCGGTATGCAACAAAACAATAGCATAGTACTTTTGAATGTACTCAGTATTTAACTTTCTATATGCTTCAACATTTGAAGTGAGCTCTGAGGTGTGGTTGTTTTCAATGAAATAGACTTAGTCTCAATGTCAAGTGCACACGTTACCTTTGCGGTTCATCCCCATTTGCAGACACTTGAGCAAGCGGCAATACTGGCAGCGGTTTCTCTGCTTGCGTGACATTTCACAGTTTTTGTCACGGCTGCAGCGGTACACACGTTTGTTACAGATGCTGCGTTTGAAGAAGCCCTTGCAGCCCTCGCATGAAATGATGCCATAGTGCAGTCCTGTGGCTCGATCTCCACAGATAAGGCAGGTACGCTGGTCAGCTGTATCATCTGCACAAAGGCAAAAAGGAGAGTAAATCAACATTAAGCACAGAAAAAGCAAATATTTTATACCATACAGACCCGATCAACTGTAGACAAAACACAAGAACAAACAAAGCAATCCATTGCAGAGCTTAGGTGTGTCAAATTTGTCCCATTTTAAAATTAAAAACACAGTGGATTACTATTTGCTGAACAAAATACAATACTGCTAGGTTTACCTGCCAGTTCGTTTTTGGCTGTAGCTTTAGTGAACATTCCCTGCTTCAACTGCAGTTTGCTGTTTCTTTCTTGACTTATATTGTACCTCCTTTCTTCCTTTATTCTAAATTCTCTCTTCTTAGACATTATGGGATTAAATGTTAATTTTAAACTTACCAGGATGTGAAGAAGATCAGAGATGTAGTTAATAGTAAAAACATACGTTTGATTAGAACTGCATATGCACACACCGACCACTGCATTTAACCAATCCAGAAAACTGTGATACAGACTCTATATTAGAGTAGACAAAGAGAAGACAGCCATAATCATCTTTAGCACCAGTGACGACATAAAATGACATTGCAGGCCCAAATTTGGCCCACAGTCCATGAGTTTGATTCAAGGGACATAGAGTATATTTACATATATGTTCAAGTTCAACTTAGGTCTGATGTTCAATTTGTTTATGTTTTTTTATCTATATTTTTTACCTTTATGGTCACATGAAGATACACTGAACAATGCATCATTCTATACACACACACACACACACACACACACACACACTTTTTTTAACCTAACAACATCTGCAAGCCAACATTTATGTTATCTGCATGTGCATTGTGGATATACTGTATGTCATCCACATTTACATCATTTGCCTCATCAGTTTAACTATTTTTAAACAGAAAAACGCAAATGTATTTGTGTTTGTGTTTCACCAAAATACTTTAATACTTCAGGACACTCCCACATAGCTGTTGGAAGAAGTAACATTACACTAGGTAAGCATTTTAAAAATAAATTAATAATGGAATTTATATTTGCCAAATCATAACTATACACATCAGATATTGATATGTTAATTGAATTGAATAGCAATTATACAAATATATTTGGAGGATCGGTCACGTAACAAGGGTGGATTTTTGCAAGAAAGACACCAGAGCAGAAGTACATGAAAAAAGACATGTCTTGTCACGTATTGATTTAGCAGAGATGCTATGCTATATTCCCTGGCTGTGATCAGAGACTAAAACGAGACCAGGGAAGTGAATCTGCATGTCAGCTCTACCAGAGTGAAAGCCTGTGTACAGGAGGAACTCTACTCCTCCTGTACTGTAGGGGTTACACTTGAATGGATATACTGAATTGTTAATGGTTAGCTTACTGAGGCTAAAGTGCTTTAAAGCTGCTGACAATGGAATTTAACTAAAGTGTTTAAAGTGAAGTTTATCCAAATCAAATCTCTTACAGTGGTCTCTGGTTGTGTTTCTGTCTACTCTTTCCTTGAAGTCCTCAAGGAAGAGTTGCAGTTGACTTGGTGGGTGTGACAGTAGGGTAAACATAAAGCAGTTACATTGTATTTGTTTTAAACCCAGTTATTGAATATATCAAAACAATAAATTTCACTGGGATCATTTTGTTATATCAAGGTCTTAGCATAATCTATACAGTTTGGAAACAAAATGACAAGTTACACGAATATAAAGGAACTCCACCTCTGGGTAGGGGGTCTACAGCTGACTGTTGCTCTGTTTTTATCTTATCTCGTTTTCTTGAGCACGATTTTTCATGTGTTTAAACAGTTATGTTGTTCCTCTTCCTCTCAGCTATCCATCTGTGTCTGTTTGGTTGTAACAACGGAAAACCAGAAAAACAGAAAAAGGGAGATGAGGGGTGAAGTGTGCCTGTGGCAAAACAGCAGCACAGCTGAGCAGTGGCACTTAAACTCAGCCAAATGGTTGGCCTGTTTGAAACTAAAGTGTTGATACCATTACAGTGGTTCTTATTTAATGCATATTAAAAAATAAATAAAATGAATGAAAATTAAATTAAATTATGTTTGAACAACACACTTCCTCCTATTGAACATTTATCAATACAACTGGTAGAAAACCTTCGCTGTGGAACTCGGTTTATGGCCTTTCGTTGTCGCGTCACCATCCCCCAACAAGACTTTCAAGACTTACTCATACATTTATTGAGAAAGTCTTGTTCCATCATTTACAGTGGTAAAAACAAATGTTGCAAAGGAACGAATGCAACGCCGCGCAGTGCTATACGTGGAAGATGATTTTATTTACATTTGGTTTTTGTACTCCATACATTGGATTGTTACATTCACTTTCTTTGGTTTGTGTTGTGTTTTTGGGAACCTTTTGACCTTCATTATAGCTCCCAGGTGTAAATCAGATTCTTCTGATGTTTTTAGGCCCAAAATATGATGTTCCCACTGTGTTAGCGTAAAACCAGGAAACCTGGAAAAGGCCCTCACAGACTCACTCTCTCTCACTTCCTCACTCTGTATACCCCCTCACACATTAGAGTCACACCTCAAGAGAAAGATACAAAAACTAGTGTCAGGAGTTTTCAGAACCTCATGGCACAGAAATGTGAGTTCTGCAGTATTTTTATTTTGGGAGGCGGGGGCAGTGACGCTTCATCCCTGCACTCTCTGACGCTGGTGTGAATCGCTCGAACTTTTGTTTCAACTGCGGTGCGGCATTCTTATGCTGTTCATCTGACACATTAAAACAAGAAACACAACCAAATAACTTTGTTAGCATTAATAACATACTGTAGCTTAGTGTTTAGAGGTGTGGCTGGGGGGGGTGGAGACAAAGGGAGAGAGAAGAGGGGAACTAAAAGTAGTGTAAGTCTTCCATAACTTAATGTTACACTCCGGGAAATTTTAATAATTTGTACTTGGTTCATTTGGGTGAAACAAGACACATTGTGTAAAGATGGGATACCAGGCTTAAAGCACCAATGCAGTATGCATATGTACTGTAGTATATGTTGGTATACAGTGGGGGGAAAAACCCTCATGTATGATATTGACATTGTCTTTTTCAACAGCTCTGACCCACCATGATAGATCAAAGTCTTCTCATTGTACCATTTGTTAAACCATGTGCTCATTCGAGACGACAATCTAACAATGCACTGTGACGGCTGCTGCATGTCAAAGGCCTCGACATCCTTTACCACAGAAAACACACAAAGGCCATAAGTTGCCTTCACTTATTTGTCAAACCTATCACCCTGGTCTTTCAAGTGCATGGCCAGCAGATTGTTTCACACAGTGACACATTTCAGTGTCATGTCCTCTGACTTGACAGTCAATCAATCAACAATGCTTATAAATACATATTTATTTTATGCTGCTTATCTGTACAATTTTATTATTCGGGGCTTATCTATCTATCAATCCAATAAAATACAATAACAGTGCCTTTTATCACAACAGGATTTTATCAAAATGACTGTGAATGCCACTATAACAATAGCTGCAGAGGTAAGTCGATGTGAGCTCATCAATCGCCTTCACACCAGCTTTAGGATTTTGAATCTACAGTTAGTTCACATTTTAGGTTCCAAAGAGCAAAGCCAGCTCTGCAGTTCACTCAGCCTAGCTGCCATATCGACAAATAATCTGCACGTACTACAAATGCTTTTCTCAATAAAGGAGTCGGACGAGTAACATAACACAATATTTTTGAAAAAACAGCGGAACAAGAGAGAAGGTGAAAGGCTGTATTTTTCACATGCTAGGCTAAAGCTAAGATTTAAATCAGTTATTTATATCAGATAAATACTTTAAAACTATACTATTAAAATATATTTATCCAGTGAGATAACAGCCGCAGTAGACAAATACAGTTTGGAAGTATGTACATAATACATACATATAAGAGTTTTTTGGGTTTTTTTTAGAGTGCAATAGCACACAGCAGTGGAACAGGTAGGGACAACTAACAGGGACAGGAGGAGCCGAGACAAAACACGCCCTGGATGTTTATGGATTTCAGTTCACTTTGGCAGTTGGACAAATTAATTAAATTAATTGGACGCATTAATGCAGCTGAGATAAAAAATGAACCTGTACACCTGCACAGTGATTAATTGCTAGTTTAAGGTGTGTAAAAACAGTTACAAATGTGTGACTAAAGGGGTGTGCCAGCAGAGAACCACTGTGTTGACGAAGGTTCTTGTCTGTATAAGCACACACTGGTCTGTCTCTGTGTATGGTATCATAGTAGTATACACAATATATATTAGCCTTATTCAGATGCAGCTGTTACATCCATGTGCTTGGGTGCTTTGTTTAAAAAATATTTCTGTAGCTGAATGTGGGTTGAAGCAATTCTGTTTCTTTTCTTTATGTATTGCAGAAAAAAACCACATTGTTGCATAAGAGATGAGCTTTACAGATGGGATGGAAAAGATAGCAGTGCATTATCTTGAACTCCACCCTCTCTTTCTTTCTTTCCTTGTCTTGCTTAAAGGAAACTGTCATGCCCCTTCAACACACACACACACTTGAACACATCCACCCCCCGCAAACCCATTAAAGGCTGCATTGTTTCTTGGGGTCAGCCTAAGTTTCATTCCTTTAACATGAACCAGGAAGTGCAACCATTAGAAGCTGTACTCATTTTTAAAAATAAAGAAATATATAAAATGCTGAAGTCACACATACAAATGGAGCTGCGATCATAGCTGGACTTGACTTTGTAACTGGACTGTTATTCTCACTACATCACACATATAGGAAAGGAGCTGATTTATGAACCTAAAGTATTCCCCAATTAATGACAATAGGCATTTGTGAGTCTGAATTCACCTTCTTGGTACTTCAGTTGGTAGGTGCTGAGAATGTGAACTAGCATCCCTAAAGTTGCTAAATTTTGTGCAATTGCCCTTAAAGGTCCTTCTCCTCTTTCAACATATCATACAATGCAGTAATCATACTAACCTGAGTTTTTGTGGTGTTATTGGAATAAGACAATTGGGGCTCATGCAGCTCCTCACCAAGATGGTGGCCATGGTGCTATGCTAACACTTCTTAAATTACTTTGGGTCAAACCTTGGGCAGGGAATTGTGGGTGATTTGTAGTGTTCTGTTCTGTTTTTTTTTTTTTGTTTTTGTTTTTTTTTTTTGTATTGCTTATAAATTAAATTTGGTTGCATGTACTGACAATTTCCAGATTTAGTCTCACAAAAATGTGTTCAATTGACCAAATGACGAGACCTACGGAGCACACTGGCCGTACTGTTGGTGGGGCTAGTGAAACAGGCTTTCTGTTCCAGTTGTCCTTTACACTTACACCAGGCTGAAACAGAGAGTGGGGGATGCAGCAATGTGCTGTACTTTTCCACTGCTGGAACCTAGCCTCTCTGTCACCCATCCCCCAACCCTGACCACCCCCTCTCTTTACTCACTTGCTATCTCTCCTCCTAATATCA